AAAATAACAAATAAATAAATTTAAATAAATAACTCTAATCAAATAAAAATAATAAATAAATAAATTTAAATAAAAAAAAAAAATTTAGCTAACAAATAATAAGTTTTATATCTATAGAAATTACATCAAATGTTTCTGATAATTACCATAGCAATGACCTTGATAATAACTATGACAATAGCTATAGTAATGACTGTTGTAATGATGCTGATGATATTTGTAGCGTAACTAGCAAGTGAAATAATAGAAGTAAGGTGTGGGATTTTTTTAAAAAGGTTGTATGGCAAAAGGAAAAAAAATAGCTAAATGTACAGTATCCAAGTACCAACATAAGGAGTTTTCTTATAGAAAGGGAGGCTCGACTAGAATGCTATAGCGCTACTTGGAAAGTGTACACTGGACTCAGTATATCACAACAGAGGAATTTAATAAAAAAAAAAAGAAGGCACAAAGTGAATGTGGTACCATTGAGGATATGTTTCGAAAGGTTAGCTTTAGAGTTCTGAAAGTGCTAGGCATGATACTATTAAAACATAATGCCTAGTATAGGCATTATGTTTTAATAGTATTGTGCCTGGTACTTGCAAAACTCTAGTTAGTTCTATTAATTTTAAGCTAATCTAATTTGAAAATTATTGTATAGAATCCTAAAGATCTAATGTTGGTTGATATTAATAATATAAAGCTTCATGATATGTTTGCCGCCTGGATTATTAATTGTTAATGCCTATTTAATATAATTGAAGACACTGAATTAATTGAAATTATAGAGTATTTGAATCCCATAGCATATTTAGTTAAAGCTGATGCAATCAAAACAGCAATAATGTCACTTTATAATTCAGGAAAAAAGAAGTTAAAGGCAAGCTTACAATTGTTATTTTTTTTAATTTATTTTAATTTAACCTTGAGAACCTAGAGCGCTAGTGAAATATTTTATTAAATATTATATTTTTATATCATTATAATGTATCAAATTGTAAAGCTTATTGTATAAGTTTACATATCTAATTAAAGTGATTTTTTATTACAGTATCTTTTATTTTTTATTTAAATTTATTTATTTATTATTTTTATTTGATTAGAGTTATTTATTTAATTGGTCGATCACCAGTTAACGATAGTAGTGCATATAGTAACAAATGACACAGATCATTATATAAAAAGATCAAACGTGATTTTTTTATTATATGGGAAGAGGGTCACTTTAATAAGCTATACCACATAAAAAAGTATACCAATAGGCGCACGAATGGCAGTATTTCTCTTATGACAGTTTTTTTTTCGGGCTTATCGCTTTTTGTAAGAGTTTTCTATAATATACGACGCCATTTTCACTTACCTGACCTATATAATTTCAAATGATTCGAATTTTAAGATGACAGTTCTTTCTTGTCTTTCTTGTCTAAGATTCTCCGTTGCAGCCTTATTAAGGCATATATTTCCAAATACACACAAAGTATGTACTGAAGACCAGTCTACTTTAAAGTATATTGAAAATTTATTTTAATAAAGCATTACATATCTCGGGATCTAGCTTTTTATGATTACTTGATTGAACCTTTGGTTGGTCTCTTGGACGGGCTGAAGGAAAATTATATGATCTATTTTCGTAAGTTTTTTGGAGTATACTATTGGTCGTACTATTTTTTTTTTTTTTTTCAAGAACTTTGTACTAATTGATTCACATTATCTATACCCATTATTTGCTGATAGCTCTATTTAATCTGATGAACTTTGTTGAATAACTGAAAGAGTGGCATTTCGTTTCAAAGCTCGTGAATATGTTGCAATCCATCCCTTAATAGTAGAGACCTTAGGTATATCTTCTTCATTAATTTCACCAGACTCAACAAACTTATCCAATTCATCATGCATGTCTTGTGCTGTCATTCGGTCACTGGTTTTAAGATTACCGTTTAAAAAAAAGCGTTCTAATAATTCTTTCACATTCTCTGACATTCTTTTACCACCACCTCGTACGCCATAAGCCTGGTTCTCTTTCAGAGCCCACCCTTTTTTTAAAGGATATGTATTATCAACGAACCATTTATTAGGCAAGGACTCATGATCTATTTGAGACTTATATATAATAAAGTTGTATTTTTTGAAACAAAACCAAACTTTCGAAATTAACAGACCTTTGTCTTTATTTTCAGCTATATATTCTCCACTTAAGTCGGTACTCCCTAGGTCAATAGCATCTGAATAATATGTAACTTGTCAATTTGAATTTTGTTTTATGCAAATAAACTAAAGTGCTAGTCGCATGATAAGTAACAAAAACCAAGTTCTGATTTTGATACTTATCATGTTATATAATTAGCACTTTGGAAGTTATCTTAGTTCTATGATACCTAGCATATCAACATCATTATCTTCTATTTAATAAATAAATCATATTGTTATGAATTGGTATACAAAGTAATGTAATTT